AGAGGGCCTGGTTACCAGTGGAAGTGGAGGTCATCGTCTGCTCTCCACAGAGGGCCTGATTATCAGTGGAGGTCATTGTCTGCTCCCCACAGAGGGCCTGGTTATCAGTGGAGGTCGTCACCTGCCCCTGGTAGAGGGCCTGATTATGAGTGGAGGTCGTCGTCTGCTCCCCACAGAGGGTCTGATTATCAATGGAAGTCATCATTTGCCCTAAGTAGAGGTCTAGGCTGGTTATCATCTGGCCCTCAGAGAGGGCCTCATCGCCACTGGAAGTCCCTGTATGACCATCAGTGAGGGTCTGGTCACTACTGAAGGTCATCTGGTCCCCATAGAGAGTCTGGTTATCACTGAGGGTCTTCATTTGATCTCCACGCAGGGCTTGTGTCTGACTCTCACTGAGGGTCTGGTCACTGCTTAGGGTCTTCAGCTGGCTACCTTCACTGGAGATTGTCATGTTGCTTGCGGTGATGGTTGTCTTCTGGCAATCAGTGGGTGATGTCTTTGGGGTGTCAGTAACATCTGTCATCTGGGAACCAGCTGTGTGTTTTATCTGATCAAAGGAAGTCACTGTCTGGCCCATGGAATAAGTCTCACTTAGGTCTTCAAGGGACATATCAAGCGCTTTAAGAAGGTGCACTGTTAAGTCCTGGGTGGGAACTGTCCCAGGGATGTTAGTGCATGCAGAAGCCATTGTGAGCTCCAAGGGAGGCATGGTTTTGTTCTGAGTTGACTCGTGTTGGCTCTCCTCAGCATGGGCAGGCAGAGGCATGCAGCACTGTGGTTCTGGTGCATCTGGGGTTTCTGCCTGTTTTGTATGTTGCTCAGAGAGATGCTGGAAAAAATCCTTAATTTCCTCAATTGCCTGGAAGAGACTAGAATCCATCTCTGCTGTTGGCTGATGACTGAACTAGATCTTTAGTTATGGGATCCTGCAAAAAAGTGAATAGGTCAGGGGTTCATCCCAGCTCAAATTCCAATCCTCACATACCCTCCTTCTCCATCCCTATTGACCCTATCCTAATCCAGCCCACCATCATCTGTTGCCCAGAAGCCTGTAATTGCCTCTCAACTGACTCTAGAGTTAGCTTCATCCAGTGTACCCTCTACACACAGTAACATTTTAAAAGCGCAAACATTTCTCAGGTGTAAACTTTTACTAAGCTACTCCTATCTACCAATGGAGGTGAGAGTTTAGATGAATGTCGTGAATGTCCCATCATCCTCTGAAGAGATCTTACCCCAGAGACTTTTCCAAAGTCTTCTCTCCAGATATCTTACTGGAGATTCAGCTGATTAAATTTTCAAATAAATTCTCTCATTTCATTTCCACTGTGACCCTAGAAAATAAGAGTGATGATTAATCCCATTTTAAAGAAAATAGAAGTCCAGGGAGGTGAATTGACTTGGCCTAGGCGGAAGACTCTTAACTTGTACAGGACCTATCTGGCTCTGGGTCCTCACAGACCCCTGGATAAATGGGGACATTTCTCCCAGAGATCTCTCTGGGGGCACCCAGTGATTCCGGCCTCCTGAGAACCATCCTGGAAACCACCAGCTTCCAGGAACCATTCTACTATGGACTGAATGTTTGTGTCTCTCCAAATTTCACATATTAAAACTGAATTTCTAGTGTGATTGGATTAGAAGGTGGGACCTTTGGAAGATGATTAGGTCATGGAGACAGAGCCTTCAAGAATGAGATGAGTGTTCTAAGGGGCTGAGGGGCAGAGTTCTTCACTTCTACCAGGTGAGGACACAGCTAAAAGGTGCCATCTATGAACCAGAAAGCATGCCCTTACGAGACCCTGCATTTACCAGCACCTGGACAGAACAGACTAAGACACATTCTAAGAAGCAGTTTCTTGGAGACAGAGGCCTAACCGTGCATATGGACAAGGTTTATATTTCTGTTCAAAGTGGCCATCCTTGCTTCTAGGCTTCCTATGTCTCTGATATCAAGTTTGTTTGTTTATTTATTTATTATTTTCTCTGCCCCATATGATCTGCAAGAAAAGTGTCAAGTTTATAACGAACTCCTCAAAGCCACCATCTGGGTAGCCTCACATCTTTTTCATCCTGGGCGCCTCTTCCCTGCTTTTGTCCTGCTCTAGCCAGATCAGTCCACTCAGTTTTGCCATGTCCCTATCCAGTCCATTGCTCAGTCTGCCCCACCCAGCCAAGGTATCTGATCTAATACGTTCTCCTTCCCCATCTCTGCCATCAAAGCCTGGTCCCTCCTGCCTTGTCCTGACTCTCAGAATAGAGAGATACCACAATTTACACATATTCAAAATGTGTGGCTGGACTGCCATTGAATGTGGTGGATTGAGGAGACCTTGAAGTCCTTCCCTTCTATATCAAATCATAGAAATGATAGATGGCTTTAAATATATATGTATATATAGAGAGAAAAATTTAAAAAACCCAAAACTGGTTTTGATATATGATATAATATGTATATTATATATAGAATATATATTTCCAGTCATAAATAAATATATATAAATATATATTTATATATAATATATATAAATTAAAAATATATAAATATATAATATATAAATAAAATATATATAATATAAATACATATATTATATATATTTATATATAAATATATATAAATATATAAATAAACATATATAAAAACATATATATGTATATATAAATAAATATATATAAATTTATATATATATAAAACATATATATATATATATTTATGACTGGAAATAAGTGGAATTTCCCAAGAACTAGAAGGAGGCACCCTTAGAAGAAGGGAGATGATTAAAGCCGCAGTGGAAGCTGGGCAATATAGCAAGACCCCCTCCTCTCTAAAAAACAAAAACATAAACTTTAAAAATCAGCCTCTAATAACATCTTACTCTTACACTTTGTTTCCCACCATTCCTGCCCTTATAACAGCTTAACTCCTGTCTACCCCTTCTCTCCAGCACTGGACTAGAAGCTCCTCTGAGCAGAACTTTATTTCATCCTGAGCAAGTCCTGATGGATCCCACTGGGAACCTTGGAAAGGCCTGATTTCCCACTCCATCTGCTCTAGGTCTGCTTCTGGTCCCTAAAGCTTCCGGCCCTCGGAAAAACAGATAGATTTCACCCCCAGTTTAAGGAATTATTGTCCGCCTGGGCATGGTGGCTCAGGCCTGTAATGTCAGCACTTTTGGAGGCCGAGGCATGCAGATAACTTGAGATTAGGAGTTTGAGACCAGCCTAGCCAAAATGGTGAAACCCTGTCTCTACTAAAAATACAACAACAAAACTAGTTGGGTGTGGTGATGCACGTCTGTAGTCTCAGCTACTGGGGAGGCTGAGGCACGAGAATCGCTTGAATCTGGGAGGTGGAGGTTGCAGTGCGCCAAGATCGTGCCACTGCACTCCAACCTGGGCAACAGGGCAAGACTCTGACTCAAAAAACAAAACAAAATAAAAAAAACCCTGATAGTCCTGCCCACGGGCTATGCCTCCTTCTCTGGGTCTCTAATAATTCAACTCAATCCACTCAGTCCCCGCTGACTCATGGGCACAGCGTTGCACACTTCCATGAGACTTTGACCAGACCACGATCTCGTCCTGGGCTCCTGCCAATGTGATAGAAAGATCTTCGGGTGCCCTCGAGAGACCCCCCCCAGGAATCACAACCACAGCCTCCTCTGCAGACCCCTCGCCTGTCTGGTGAAAGGCAAGCCCTGCGCAGGGCAGGCTCGTGGAGGTAAAAATGGTCCTCAATAAATGAACCGTTTTAGACGCCTGTCTGTCCTCCCCTATTAGTGGGCTCCCTTGCTAGCATTCTGGACTCCTAAAGCTTTGAGTTTCAGACCTACCATCCCATGACACTGACCCTTGCGTTTGCGTTTGGAGGCACAGACTCACCAGAAATTGGTCCGCATTGCAGGCCGGGTATTTTGCTACTCGCAAACCGAGAGGAACTCACTCTGAAACTGCTGGGCGCCTTCTGGGGCCTGGGTTTTTATATATGTGTCTTTGGTCAGCCACGCCCCTCGGGGCGGAGCCCAGGGCACCAGCGACCTACCGCCTGTATGGACTGAGTGATTGAGTGACCTACTAGGGGCCTCGGACATTAATGCAATCACTTCCCCTGTTCTCATTGTGCAGGGAAGCAATGGACATTAATTAGCGAATTTTACCCTCACCAGTATTAGGAAGTGGATTTTATCATTGTTACCATGTAAAGCGAAAACTGAGACTTAGAGATATTAAATATTTGCAGGAGGTCACAGAATCAAATACATATACTAGATTTGAACTCAAACGGTTTTGCTCTTATGGTCTGAGTCCTTAAACACACTAGAGGCCTCAGATTCAATCAGCTTATGCAGACTCCACCTCTTCCGCAGCTGTGCCTTTAATCAAATTAATTCTACTGTGAAATCCTGATAATTCCATCAGTTTACCCTGGAAATTATCAAGGCACTTTTTTTTTTTGCTGTGGTTTTACTTATTACTTATTTATTTATTTTGTCTTGCATAATTATCTTGATAATTCCATCAGGTTACCCTAGAAATGGTCATGGTACTTTTTTCTTCTTTTCTTTCTCTCTTTTTTTTTTTCTTTCTCTCTCTTCTCTCTCTCTTTTTCTTTTTGGCTGTGGTTTTTACCTACTTATTTTGTTTTTCTTACTTATTTTTTAATTTAACCTTGCCATCTATTTTTGAGACAGCGTCTTACTTTGTTGCCCAAGCTAGAGTGCAGTGGTGCAATCACGTCT